CGCCACATGATTTCACTCATGTAGAATTTAACAAACAAAACAAGGGGAAAAAAAAGAAACAAACCAAAAAACAGACTCTTAATTCTACAAAACCAGCTGATAATTACCTGAGAGGAGATGGGAGGAGAAAATGGCTGAAATAGGTGATGAGGCTTCATCACGATGAAAAACAAATGATTTAAAAACTATAACACAACATATATAAATATAGAATCACTATATTGTACACCTGAAACTAATATATCAATTAGGCCTCAATTTAAAAAAGGCAAGCAGACAACACACACACACACACACACACACACACACACACACACACACACCATGGAGTCTTAAATTCTAAAACTGGACTTCCACTGATCTTCCAAGTGGAAAGAAGGCAACCCAACTTAACCACAGAAATGTAGGTTCCTTTAGATAAGCACATACAAATCAACGAAACAGATTTCTTTCAAATTCATCTGACATTATCACATTTATGTTGACTAACTTACATTAGCCAGACTAAGAGACTGAAACCTGAATGCCACAAATGCCAATGAACATGTTAGAATGCCAACACGTTAATAAATAAGGATATACATTGCTATCTCAAGTCTGGAATGCTTTGTATTAGTGGAACAGCCCATTTCCTTCCTAGAGGAGATTTATACTGGCTGCCAGTTTATAATACAGTTTCAATGGGCAGTGAACCCTCTCGAGGAACATTTTAGGAAGTGTCCTCTACCTCAGAAAACTTGGGAAACTTCTCAAACTATAGAGAAGGCTGTGCCAGACCTTGATCAAATGTATCAGCAGAGCAACCCCACTCTTAGCCCACCACCGCCATGAATCTGAAGAAGCATGGCCAGTGTTTGCCTCACTAGCTTGCTTTCCTTGTGTTGGTCATTTTAGTTATTCAGCTATACATTCTTAATGACAGTTTCTTTCCTTATATATTGGAAACCAGAAGATTACTGGCAGGGTTTTTACTCCTACATAAGACCTGGAAATACTTTTAGACAATAAAATAACAGCGTTGATCAATTTTTAGTGTATTTTGCAAATTTAATTGTCAGGGCTTTATGCCTCCATGACTACCATGGCCACTTAAGCTTTCTTAGAGCACTCTTTAAAAACTCTGGTCATACAGAAATCAATAGTTACATAAGGCACTAGTAACCTTGATCTCAGTCCCTTGTTACTATAGTGAGGGGCAAAAAAGTTCTCTTCAAATTTTAAATCTATGGTTTAATAAACTTCAATTCCCCCTACAAGGACAAAAGGAAAGTTTTAAAATCCTAGAAACATTTTTAATCAACTTCTGAAAGACCCTTGTTCCTAATTCAACCTAGAAAATAGTTGTTTTGATTGTTTGAGTCAAACCCATATGCACCATGCACAGATCTGAACTACCAGCTGTATCATCTTAATAGAGGTAGTATATAAACATATATAAACATATACCTGCAATGGTTAATAGAAATATATGCACATACAACTGACTGATCGACTTTGAATCTCCATTTGTCCAGATACAGCCATAGCCAACCTCTCTCAGATTTGGGAAGGTTCAGAAATTCTTTTGAATGTCATGTAATTCAATAATTAAGAAATTTCAGGGTGCCTGGGTGGCCCATTCAGTTGAACATCTGACTTGTTTTCAGCTTAGGTCATGGCCCCAGGGTCTATGTTGGCTCTGCACTGCTTAAGGTTCTGTCTCTCCCTCTCCAACACTCACACTCCCCTCCATCACACACACACACACACACACACACACACACACACACACACACACAGAAATGTCAGTGGCCCACCAGCAGAACTTGGCTAAACTAGAAAAAAATATTTCTCCTATTTCACGAGTAGTGAAAACAATCTTAAGTCTCAGTCAATTCACAACACACACTCTCTTAAGGTCCCTTCTAACTTTTCAGTTATTTAAAAACAGGTGCTTTAATATGTACCACGTTGTTTTAAAAAAAAAAAAAAAAAAAAAACCTCAAGGTGCCTGGATGGCTCAGTCCATTAAGCATATGACTTCAGCTCAGGTCATGACCTTGCTGCTCACGGAGTTTGAGCCACTGTCTGGCTCCATGCTGACAGCTCAGAGACTGGAACCTGCTTTGGATTCTGCATGTCCTGTGCGTGCGCTCTCTCTGCCCCTCCCATTTGCTCCCTCACTCTCTCTCAAAAATAAAAATATTTAAAACAATTAAAAAAAAAATCCTCCCTCAGTTTACCCCAGAAGCTAAGAATCTTATCATTCCTAACTACAGTCTTACTCTCAACCCCTGTAAGGCAATGGAGCCCTTCACTCAGCCATTGGCTGTGCTGAGTCAGAGAATAAGGCACTAGTGATCTAGGAGTTTAACTGTTTCTTTTCAAGGTTTTAGCCAGTTGGAGGTTTTTTATTATTTTTTTGCTGTCTTTTTTTTTTTTTTTTTTTTTTAAAGTTGTCTACCCTACCTTCCAAAGCAACCTGTACCTGATTTCTGAAGCATTTCAAGATCTGGGGACTTTAACCAACTTGATTTTTCACAGCTGTTCCCACTATCTTGGGCCTATTAAGTCTGATTGATTACCATCCTGTTCTTCCAACGTTTGTTAGTCATCTTTTATCTACTCCAGTACCTCTCACATTCATTTTCCCTTGTGTGGCTATACCATTTTTAGTCTCTTTGGGTGGATAAATGCAACAGTGGAAATAATGCCATTTAAACATGCACTTAAATAAAACAAAGACAAGCCACATTTCTTTACATTTCCCTATCCCAATTTAAGAAATGTGGACCAAACCTCAGAGGTCAAGTCTCTCATATGCCACAATTTTATATCGGTTCAAATTTGCAAAAGACAGATCAAACTAGAGGGTCATTTTTCAGTAAAAATCTTTCATTTCTTGGTCAAGATCAACTAATAAAGATTACTCACAACAACTTTTTAGTGAGATGGAAAAAGCTTGAGAAAAGAAAATCCTAACTTATGAGGGACAGATGAATTTTGAAATCAAATTAGAGGGCAAGAAGAGCTGACACTATCCTAAAATAATCTAGATGATTGACAGTGGTGACATCCAATTACATCTTTTCTGATCTGGCACACTGAGATGGATGAGTCCCCTTTAATACGTGGTATGCATACATAATTTTGCCAAAGAGCAAAAGGTAAGAATTTTATTAGACACTTTATGCTTCCATCTCCTTATTTGAACTTGCATAATTTGGGAGGATGAAAGAACCTAGGCTTTTCAACGCCATGCTTTAGGAAGTCTATTAGCAGTCAAGAGAATGCTTTTCTTTTAGCAAATGGCTAAGAAGCACACATACCCAAACCCCCAGTAATGCAAGATTTCCAAGAATTTCCTGAAACATACCCCAAATATAATCATTCCTTAAGTTCTTCAGGCATTTTAATACCGACAAAAATGACCTCCGATGGATTTCAAAATGGTGAGTTCATTAGTTACTATTAGAATTTTATCACTGCTGTTATCAATACAAAACACGTTCCTCATTTTCCATTAAAAAAAGGCCTTCCCACGAGTCATGATCTCACGGTTTGTGGGTTCGAGCCCCGTGTCAGGCTCTGTGATAACGGCTAGCTCAGAGACTGGAGACTGCTTCAGATTCTGTACCTCCTTCTCTCTCTCTGACCCTCCCCTGCGCACGCTGTCTCTGTCTCTCAGAAGTGAATAAAACATTTAAAAATTTTTAATTAAAAATAATTTAAAAAGGCCTTCCCAAAACACTTTTACTTTAAAAGATTTTTCCAGTAATCTACCTATCTCAGTCTCCCCCAGATAATGCAAACGTGCTGATGCCAATCTCCTTCACAGAAAGGAAAACTGAATATAAAAGAGAACTATATTCCCCTATGCCCAGTAATTAAGCAGTTACGTTCTGCTGGCCAAAATCCACTGTGTCCCTTAATCTAACCACAGGTGGTTCTGACTCTTTATGCTTCCATTTTCCAAAGGCCAACATCCAGGAAGATAACTATACGCAACCCGAGGTGGGCCCTTTGGCTCTGTGCTGTGTGCAAGCATGATGGGACGGGAAGAAGAGCTTTTCTGGGTGATAGAATACCGGCCTTGGATGAGCAGCAACTCGTTAGCTTAGTCTTCAAGAAAGCCACCTGCAAAGGACAACGTTATCCTTCTTGAGATACAAAGGGCTCGCTTCAAGGTTAACATCCCATCAAAGCACCACACTGGCTTCAACCCGCGGCAACATATATACGGACCTTTGCAACTATCCTGCTTCCTACCCCTCCTGCCTCACCCCACGCCCAGCCATACTACTGGGCGCTAAAACTAAATAACAAACGCCCCCTCCACATCACTCCCATTACTCTCCATTTCCCCTACTAGTTACTTTTCAGTCCATTTTGGAACGGGATAAAACCTCTATTGCCCTTAACTCCAGAATTTACCCTTAATTCTATATCCACCGGTGAAATTCTTGGATTAAACTCTGCCCCTCGGTCCATCTTCACTTCATAATTAACATAGGGTCATAAGAGATACTCAGTTAATGTGTATGAATAAACGGATAACGTGAACACAGGCCTGTGAAGTTGGAGGAGTAAAGCTCCAACCACGCATGCGCGGAGAGCACACACTATTAAGAAAAAAAGGGCAGACAGGCAGGGAGACTCCTGAGCTTGTCATGAGGACACAGTGGGGCCACTGTCAAAACTAAGTGCCTCGCAGTTCCAACCCATGTTCTCCCGAGTCCAGCGCCAGGAGCCGGGCTCCCACTCGCCCTCGCGCCCCCCCCCCCCCCCACGACGACAGCCTGGGCGCGGGAAGGGCTCTGTGGGGCAGCCTCCGCTGGCGTGCCGGTCTGTTACGGGACCAAAGCCACCAGTCCCGGAACGCAGGCGAGGACGCGGCCCAAGCCGGGCACTGGACGGGCGGAGTCCGCCCCGCAGTCCGCCAGAGAAGGCGCCGGCGCGAGAGCCGCACCGGGAGCGGAGGGCCGGGCGGGGGCCCCGGGGCGCGCCTGGCGCCGCATTACCTCTCCAGGGCCTGCAGCGTGTAGCTGATGAGCGGCCTCTCCAGGACCGGGCAGAACTGCTTCGGGGTGGGGACGCCCATCCGCTCCCCACTGCCCCCCGCCGGCAACACGGCAGCCACAGCGGGAGCGCGGCGCCCAGCGGGCTGCGCCTCGGCCCGGGCCGCGTTCAGCCAAGCGGCCGAGGGCGCCGGGTCCGCGCCGCGAGAGGCGCACAGGCGAGGCCCCGGCGCGGCGGGCCTGCGCTCCATGGCGGCCGGCGGCGCGGCAGGCCTGGTTCGCCCCGGGCCGCAGCGCCCCGCTGCGCTCGGGCGCCCGGCTGGGGTCCCCGGGAAGATGGGGGGAGGAGGGCTGACGGCGCCCACCGGAGCCGCGGGGCCGGCCGCTGCGTGTCCCCAGGGGACGTGCCAGCCGAGCGCCCTCCCTTCGCGTCCGCGGCCTCCGCGACGAGCCCAGCGCCCCCGGCCGGGCTGCGTTCCGCGCCTCCTCGCTTCTCAGGCGGGCCCAGCGGTCGCCTCGGGTCAAGTGTCAGCCCTCTGTACCGACAAACCTAGGGGTCCCATTAAAATTAACAACTATGCGTAGGGTGTAGAGGTCAGGACTCCCCCCCCCCCCCCCGTACCGCTCCCCTTAGGGAAATTTGGATTCGGGTCACAGGATAGGACAGAAAGGCCGTTGATTTCTTACTTTGATTAAGCGCGTTAAGACTTCCTGGTTACACCTCGGAAAAGACAGGTGGCCTGGCAATGTTACTATGAAACATTAACCCAAACTGCCACGGATCCCAAATTTGTCTGCAAATGGGAATTACCTGGGGAGCTCAAAAATTGCTGACACCTATGTCCCACGCTCAGAGACTGGGATTTAATTAGGCCGGTGTGTGGCCTGGGTTTGGGAATGTTTTTGAAGACCCCCAGGTAATTCTAATGAGCAGGCACGTTTTGGACCCACAGAGTCAAAGCAATAATACTAATAATTGCAGAAACAAGAGATACAGGTTAGCTCATTTAATCTCCAGGAGAACCTAACTATTACTGGGGTTTTGTTGGTTTTGGTTTTTTGTTTTGACACAAAGAAAGAAAAAAAAGCTGCAGTATGTAAGTTTCCTATGTAAAATTACCTAATGGTAGAGCTACTTCAAGGCTCTTGCACAGAAGCACAGCCAGAGTTGAACAATTCCAGGCCTGGAGCGTATATTGCCCTTAGTATTGTCCTTGCTGGCAATGTTTACCATAAAAACGTATCGACGTTTTTGGAATGTCAGAACCTATTGTATTAAGTCCCTGGAATGGAAACTCCAGGAAGCGTAGGGGCCTTACTTTTTTGGTTTGGGTGTGTGTCCAGCACCTGGAATATACTAGACACTTGAAAAAATATATATTGAATGAACTACTGATTGACTAAGTTAATGATAATTGAAGTACATATTATTAACTATTTGCTAATTCATATTTATCAATCTTCAACCATCAATAGTTAATATAAGATTCATAAAAGGGAATCCTTTAAGTGCTGAAAATAGTATCAGATTACAATATTCCAACCCAGTATTTTTACTCTTTTTTCCCAATTTAGATTAAAGCCTACAAAATTAAAATGATTTTTCTCCCATCTTTTTTTTTTTATCAGTGATTGAGCATGCTTTTAATACATTCAATATCATGGTATTTTCAATACTTAAGCTTCAATACAGAAGTACTTTCAATACAAAAGTAACAAAAAATTATGATCATAATTATGTTTACCTCTGTTACAGTTTGTCAGATCATTGACTCTCAGCTGAAAAATAAACCCCATAATACACTTGACTTTGTACGACTGCCACTACCACCACACCCGTGTCTGGCCTGTGCTAGACATTCAATTAATACCTGTTGACTGGATGGATAAATGAATAAAGGAATCTATACAGCGGCAGGAAGACAAATTAAATCATTTCAATTAACAATGATCTTAAATTTCCCTTTTTAATCTAACAGTGGAGTTAAAGCTAGTTTTCATTTTCTTAATCTTAAGCAAAAAAATCACAGTAATGTCTTACATTAATTGCTTCATAATAATTATAATTAAATCTTGACAAGTTTTAACAAAAATCTTGTTTTATTAATTTAATTTTGTTTTAAGGGACATCTGGGTGGCTCAGTCTGTTAAGCATCTGATTTCTGCTCAGGTCATGATCTCGCAGTTTGAGTTTAAGCCCCGTGTTGGGCTCTGTGCTGACAGTTCAGAACCTGGAGCCTCCTTCAGACTCCCCCTCCCCCTCCCCCTCCCCCCTCCCCCCTCCCTCTCCCTCTGTCTCTCCCCCTCCCTCTCTCTCCCTCTCCCCTCCCTCCTCTTACTGCCTCACCCCTGTCTCTCTCAAAAGTGAATAAACATTTTTAAAACACTTAATTTTGTTTCAGAGCAAATAAACTAATTTTGTTCTATTCACTATGAATCCTTAGATCCTTTATACTTGATGTTAGCAGTATTTAAGACTTTTATTGAAAGAAAAGGACAGCTCATTTGTCTATCACAGTATGAGAAACATTTTTTTCTGTATCTTTTTATATAGATATAAATAATTAGTTTCTAATTATGAGTACTTTGAGTAAAAAAACCTAGTTTCCATGTAATTTGATACCAAGTTACAGCCACATTATGAAAATATCTTCTGTAACAAGTAGCTAAAAGTGCATATTTGGAAAGTAAGATCCTCAGTAACCCATTGGTAATAACCAGTCTGTGTTACCACTTGAAAAGCTTAGAAAAAACAAATCCCAACTTCTTACAATGTAGGGCATACAAAGGGGAAAGTTCTGGAGTGGTTTTGGATTTGGGTTTCTGTAGTAGGTAAAATAATGGTTTCCCAAAGCTGCCCATGTTCTAAGCCCTGAAACCTGTGAATAGGTTACCTGACCTTATAAAAGGAACATTTCAGCTGTGATTAATTTAAAGCTCTGGAGATGGGGAGCATAGCCTGGATCACCCAGGTGTGTCCAATGCAGTCACAAGTGCCCTTATCAAAGAGTGATCAGACTTTAAAAAGTGTGAGGATGAAATTGTAGGTCAGAGTAATACAGAGCTATCAGCCAAGGATTCCAGGAGCTTCTAGAAGCTGGATAAAGGAAGGAACCAAATCTTCAGGAAGAATATAACCCTGCCAACCCATTTTGAGATTTCTCACATCTACAACTCTAAGATAATAAATCTGTATTGTTGGAGCTCCAGGTGGGCTCAATCAATTAAACATCTGACTTTTGATCTCCACTCAGGTCCTGATCTCACAGGTTGTGAGTGACTCTACACTGACAGTTGGAAGCCTGCTTGGGATTCTTCTCCCTGCCTCTCCCCTACGTGTGCTTGCGTGCTCTCTCGCTCTCTCAAAATAAATAAATAAACTTTTAAAAATAAATAGTATTGTTTTAAGCCACTAAATGTCTGACTTGTTATAAAAACCATAGGAAACTAAAACAATTTCATACACAGGAAAACCTTCAAATTTACACAGTGACTACAACTTCCAAATGAAGTTAGACATAATTAGAAATATATTCGTGTGACTGAAGAAAGAAAACACTATTCTTTTGACCTTACTTATGTCCCATAACTACACCCACAGTGCATTATGATTTTTAAAATACCCTTTATCCTGTGAGCAATAAAATGTGTATTATTGTACTGTGAATGTTCAAAGCATATCATTGTTAAATGTATGCCACAATTTTTTTACTCACTTTGACATGTCTTTGTTTTTTTAATGCTTATAGAAGTGCCCATTAAATGGAAGTGGCTCTCATCTTTATATCTGAAAGACCCAAAACTCCCTTTTATTGTTTGTTTCTACATGTCAGTGTACCCTGGAAGATTAACTTGGGGATCTTATTATTATTAGTGAATTTTAGATCAACTTGAGTTTATTTTTTTATGTTAATTCAAGTAAAATTGTGACTGCCAGTCATTCTTCTCCTCCCCAACCACACTTCCTATTTAATAGCTATTCTAGAAGTTACTTGGGGAATTGCTCACAAATGCTAATGAACAGCTTAATGGTTTACGCTTTAACTCTTTAATAGGAGCCAAACAAAATATATAATTGTTCTACCAAGGGCCAACCTCAGCATTCCTGTCAACCTATGAATTCTAATTCCTGTTTTGCCATTGTGTCTTATGTAAATGCTACAGTCTATTAACTCATGACCTTCACCTCATTTTTATACATAAGAAAAATGATGCTCCACAATGAGGTCTTTCGGTGGATAATTCAAACTAAACACCACATAACAACAAGATTATCATCTTTCAATTTCTCAATATATCTTACAAAGGTAATTATCAACTGTCACAACTGTCTACTTTGTTTTTCCTATTACAGCTAAAAAAAAGAAACAATGATGAATAGCCTTAGGACTGAAGGATAAACTTGACATTATTAATATTACTAAAGTTTAATTTGTGATAAGACTCCATTGGGGACAATTGTTAACATATATAGTATTTCTTACATATTTTATACAATATCATTTGCATATTATATACTATACAATAATCCTCAAAAACATATTATTGGCACCTTCTGACAGAAAATTTGATTCAGTAGACCTGGAGTAGGTCCAGAAATCTGCCTTTTTTCATATGCTTCCTTAGGTGATTCTAATGTTAAGTGTGAAGCAGACCTAAGTAAACACCAAATTAAAACAAGAATTACACTCAATTCACTTTATATTCAGTGCATTTAATTTCAAGACCTAAAGCAAAAGGCATGTAATATATTAAACATGCCATATAAAAATTGCATAAGAAATCCATTAGAACAGTTATGTTTTATTTCCTTGTTAATTTAAAAGAAGGAAAACACAAGGAAAAAATGTTTAAGTACCAGGGAAAAAGATGTTTTAGAGATATGGGGAACTGAATTATCTCCCTCGTATTTGTATAGAACTGTCATTTAAAAACAAGTCACCTCTGAGAGCCCCCAAAGGCCATATCTTTGACCACAACTTAAGCAGAATTGAATTTGTTGCCTGGAATTCTGCTTCTGTGCACAGAACTAAAGGGCATAGTTCTATTGTTGGATGCCACATAACTTCAGAAACGAAAAGAGGGGAATGACTTCCATGCATGAGGAATGTGGGAGGGGTGATATCTTTGAAAGTTTGTTTAGAAAACAAATGGCTAGTCTAGAATTGGTGGTGGCTATTTTTCATAATCTGTCAAAGGGAAGAATAATCAGAATCATCAAAGAAGAGCAACAGCTAGAAAGATTTGCTTTTGTGCAAGGCAAGATACTGGCAGCAGCTACATCTATACATTTAACATTTTAACTGCAACTTGGTACTCTAACAAGATTTAAAGAAGAAAAGAAACGCTTCCAGAAAATGCAGTCATGACTGTCTTCCTCAAAGGAAGAAAGGAAGAATGTGGACATGGAATATGGCATTATGACCACAACCACCACCACCCTGTAAAGCACAGAATACACATAGGAGGTGAGC